CATTTGTCAATATGGCAGTTATATTTGATATTAACTTGTCAATATCATTTTGTTTTATTTTCTATTTTTATATATTTTAAAGATTCTTTCACTGTGTGGCCTGTTTTCCTCACTATTTTTATGGGTTTATACTGATATTTTTGTTCTAGTGGTTGTCTTTATAATTGTAATTTCACATAAAGCCTTTAGTCTTCTATTGGTGATAGTTCTCTACTATAAGCAGTGATAAAATTAATTTCATACTAATTGTAAGATAGAGACATTGTAACTATGTAACATAGTTTCATTAAATCTAGACCTCTATTACATTGTGTCCTCAAAAGAAAGCATTAATCATTCAGCTAGGAAGCTTGGAAGTCAGTCAGTATTATTATTATCAGTAAGTATGCTGTCAGAAGAGGCCGTGTGAGTTTTCCTAGAGTAGATTGGCAGCCTTTGACAAGGCTTTTCTCGTCTATAAAAATGATCGTTTTTAAAGTCAGCATAGATGATAAAATTGGTAAGCCGCCATTTGTTGGTCACCATTGAATGTTAGTTCAGAATCTTTGTAGGTGGTCTGATATTCAACACCAGAGGGCCACCAATTTTATGTCCAAATTGATATTAAAAGATATTATTGGGTCTGAAGTTGCCTTTTTTTGTAGTGTGGGCTCCACGCTTGTTGAGAGTTTTATCACCATTTAATTTTTCAAAAACAACATATTTGGCAACAGAGAGGCATGCCACATATGAAAAGAATTTTTCAAAATTAAAAATCTTATTTTAAAACGGTCCAGCTTGGCTTACCTCATGTAACGACTGAGACGCATACCCTGAAGTTAGTGCTCCATCCAGCACAGAAGGGGAGTCGCCAGCATGACCCAGGGAGGAGCACAGCCTTTATTAAGCCTCCTCTCCATTCAGGAGGCGCAGGGCCACGAACGGCCTCTGTAAAGGGTGGGAACTGGAAAGTGTTTTCATAGTTTTTTTAGACTCTGGTCAATTATTTGACCATAGTTGATTTCCTTAATATTTTTGGTGAAAAGATTCTTTTTTTTTT